ATAAGACACTAAAATGAATTTTCATGAGTAGCGACATACCATACACTGTACGTATATATCAATCTTTCATGACATCCAACTTGCCGATTTATCACAAATGTAGATAAAGTAGATCCTAAATTTCTCTAGTCTGCGCACAGACTGTCCCTAATCCCCCCGTGGTGGAACGATATGCGAGCAGACTAAAATTTCTCTCACACATGAACTTGATTTCCTATGTTGTGCCCAGTAAAGTATTGATAATGTATACGGGCCAAATAATTAAGTGTTTGTTTTATTAAAGAGTGCCTTGAAATAGCTAGAAAGGAAGTTTTATATAATCTACTTTTGAATGATTGAATACAGTTTAATGTGACACTTTATTGAAACCCAATTCCCGAATCAGAGGCCCAATCTGGCCGGTTAATAACCTCAAGATGGTAATAAAATTGACATTGAAATACAGATTGATTTAGCGTGAATGCCTGAATGGTCGATACATTTGGCATTCGACAATTACCATACCCGAATTCTGTGATAAAATAAATGAAGTTAAAGCATTTTGATTGGTTTGAAAAGCGAAATACGAAGCAAACGTGTGAATTCACCGCATACTTACGCACCAAATGCATGTGCATACATAAATACATTGATATACGAATGATATCAAATGACGCTTGTTGAATTCGTGTTTAGCCTCTCGATCTTGTTATAATTCCCCCAGCGGCGGTTTCATTTAACTTCATCGGTTGAGCCAACGTATTCCTTTGTCCACCAGGAGGGTAAAAGCGCTTGACCACGGTAGAGGTATACTTGAGTAGACTGCGTCTCACTGAATCACACATCGATACTTGAGCCAACGTATTCCTTTGTCCACCAGAAGAGTAAAAGCGCCTGACGAGTTATATTTGAATAAACATCGTCTCTCTGAATCATACATCAATACATCAGCCAAGGTATTCCTTTGTCCACCAAAAGACTAAAAACGGTTGCCCGCGGCAGAGTTATATTTTACTGATAAACTGCGTCTCATGCACTGAATTTCATATACGTCAATACTTGAGCCAACGTATTCCTTTGTCCACCAGAAGAGTAAAAGTGCTTGCCCGCAGCAGAGCTATATTTGAATAAACTGCGTATCACTGAATAATACTGTGTTACTGACCGTTGTTTTATATCCACGATATATCTTTTCCAAAAGTATAATTTCGAAGTACTTTGCCGCAGAGGTCATACAATTTTGCTTGCAAGTGACACAATTAGGCTTACTGATCCAAGCAGGAAACTATTCAGACGAAAAGGTGAAACCTGATTGGTCTATTTTCCCGCACATGCATGGGAAGAGATTTGACAATGGTTTGTTGTTAATTCAGCCTTGTGCTTTGCACGTGTATGATCACATGATTCACAGATTGACCTTTGTACCAGACCTTTGTACTCCAGGAGACTTTGCACAACTTTACTCTTGTCCTAACGCTTGTTTCATTAACTTAAGTTTATAATGCTATGGGCATGTATAAACTTGCTGTATTTAGTAATGTGCGAATTGCGATTTCAGGGCCGTGCGCCTCCAACTTCTAGAAAATTGCACAATTCGGAAAAGTTACAAGCCTATTCGGAAAATTCGGACCAGGGCCGTCGGCAAAATAACGGATTTATCGGCAAATTGTCTTCGCAGTCAGCGAAAATATTTGAGTGGCTCCGATTACAAAATAATAGTTATAGCAAAAATTTTGATAAATTAACTAACAATTTAGCAAATGACGGTACATTAGTTTGGGGGTTACTGAAAAATGGTATTTTCGGAAAATTTTTTACTTGAGAGATTCAAGTGAGATTCGGTCCCCCAATATAGTGACAATACTATAAATGAACAAAGATACCCTAGAAGATCCTAAGATGAGGAATTCAACAAATTGTAGTCGAACTGACGCCTGAAATTCAGCCCGAATGAGTAAAAGTGCATTGGTTCCGCATATCAGACCCCCTTGAGTGAAAAAAACTTGCTACCTCACTGCATTGATATCAGAACGGCGTGTATTACCAGAATACACATATACCGGGACTCCGGGAGATTCCCATGCAGTGCCGGGTGGGCCCTTTGGATTTCCAGCATGACTCACTGCGAACCAGCCATGACACAAAGACATGATTGAATTAAAAACTTTCGAAACGTTTTCGCAACCTCGTACCCAGGCTCTTTCCATGTTTTCGTACAAACTTTCGAAACGTTTTCATATAACTGTTCGCTCACTCGAGCAGGAAGGTTACCCCAGCGAGTAGGTTACGCCGTATATACTACAGTACCTCGCGAACATTATTTATTCTTGTATATTCTAAACAAATCCAAACTCTTTGGTCCTTCGTTTAATTAACGAGAAAAACACGCGACGTTTCTTTCTGGAAACATTAGAATTTGATTCCCAAGGGACATCGGAATATTTGGAATAAAACTTTCAATCAAATTCCAATTTCCCTTTCCTTTTCCATTTAAGTAGAATTGAATATAGGATCCTTTTATGGTAATTTTATGTTTTTTAGGTTGCCAACATAAATTGCAGAAAGAAAGTGGAAGAATTTCAACCACGCATTTCCCAGACTACCAATATTGTTCATGGTCTATTACTGTCAATCAAGGCTCTGCGGTTTCTCTTACACTCACTTCAGTAAATATTCCTAGTTGCGATGCAAACTACATGAATATTTATGACGGTTCAGACGATACTGCACCGATACTAGTCAGTCTTTGTGATAAGAATGCAACGTCAGGAATAAGGCTTCGTTCTACTGGCAACAACATGTTTATAATGTTGAAATCTGGTAAAAATTCTCTGAATGGCGGAAATATGCAATTTCAGGCTGACTTCAAAACCACGGCACCCTTCTCTGGTATGTTATATATATATTAAAAAAACTCAATAATTCAGGAGAAAACACAAAGAAAAATCATAAGCGTGTCGTATCTTTATATGCGATAAAAAATCATGTTAATTAACATAAACTTTGGCTTTGATTTTCTCGGTTTAGACAAAGTTTATTTTAAAAATTACTTCGCCAATGAACTCATATAAGATGAGTCGATATATATATATATATATATATATATATATATATATATATATATATATATATATATATATATATATATATATATATATATATATATATATATATCAACTCATCTTAGGTTTTTGTATACGAAAAAACCTACTCGCGTATATACGAAAAAACCTACTCGCGTATATACATCGCTCTATATGGCCTTTAGGTCATATTGAGCGCTCTACAGGATGAGCCATTGCCGCTTACGCATTGCGCACGCTCAATGCTTGCAGTTTGAGCGCTCTGGCATGGTTTTGATGTTATATATATACTTCGAGGTTATATATATATACTTAGGAGACTTCGTTTGGCATTGCCAAACCTAATATCAAAGCTTATATATATATATATATATATATATATATATATATATATATATATATATATATATATATATATATATATATAAGCTTTGATATTTGGTATGGCAATGCCAAACGAAGTCTCCT